TCCGAACCGTTCGATTCAACTGTCTCGATTCGCGTGTGTTGCGTTCGGTTCATGCGCTGCTCCTCTTTCTCTTTTTCTCCAGAGCAGAAGGTGGCGGTACTGCGACCAAAGCCAACCAACTGTAGTAAACAAGAAGAAGAAGCAAAGCAGCGTAGCCAACTGTTTGTTCTAAAGCGCTGCCTCGCTGCTATTTGAGAGAGAAGTAATGCTAGAGGAGAAACGTAAATTGATCAGGATACTAATCCGGGATTATTCACACCCGTTATAGCAACAAGGATGAAGTATAAACACTGGATACATTCCTTCAGTTACTAACTAAATAGTAGCAGGTAGCTGTGCTGCACGGTGGAGCAGTGTCAATTTCTCTGCTGATATGATGCAAGTAAACACATGGCGGGTAGAAAAAGACTCGCTGACAGTTAGCACTTAGATCGAGAAGACTATGGTTACTTAATGCACATCATGGATCAAGGTCTTAACATTCCTCTGGGAAAAACCAGAAACTCTTTTAAAACAGCAGAAAGTCTTTCCCAGCACTGATGTTGCATAGCTAAAAGCATGTTTTAGAGTCTCTATACCAATGAATCGATTACTAAATTAGGTTACTATTATTTTAATAATTAATTAATCACAATTAATCCAATTAATTGTTTTATCCCATATACATATATTTACACACACATATATATACACACACACACACATACTGTATTTATATATATATATATATATATATATATATATACATGCATATGTATGTATGTATATATTAGGGGTGGAAGGGTTCATAAAATCCACGGTTCGGATCGGTTCACGGTTTCGTGGTCACAGTTTTCGGTTCGGTATATGTTGATTGTTAGGAAAATCTATTATGTCTTGTATAGTCAGGTTAAAACTGAAAGAAAAAAGCAGTCTGACATTTGATACATCATTGTTACATCTTAGGTTAAAAGTAGGTGAGATTCTGGCATTGCAAGAGAGGAGACAGTGCTTCATTTATTTGACAAACAATCTTTAACAATGAAGCATGGGCTCTATCAAAACTAGACTTAGGTCCCTTTGTCCCACTTTGTCCCAATATCCTACTCCTTTAGTTAGGCATTTCGCCCTCTCTGACTCATCACCGTATTTCTGTTTAAAAGCTGCGGGGAGTTGAAGTTGTCCTGTCGACTCTTTCCCTCTCCTCCTTGCGCTGCACACTGTCTCACTGGGATGATGTCTCCGCAGGTGAGCTGACATGTTGGTCGTGTTGCTGTTAGCATAAACACCACGTGCTG